ACTACGAGTGCTTTTCTATAAGAATTTAAATATTGAATTGATGTGTTATATATCAGTTTTAGATATGAGAATATGATGTGATTCTTCGAGTTAACAAAGAACCAACCAATCGGGATCAAGATCTTGAAATGAATTGAAATGAAAACCTAGGTTTGTGGGATGATTTAAAGAAACGATGTATCTCAAGCTTTAGGACTAATAATCTGATGATTCAAAAAATAAGGTGAAAGATGACGATATAAATTATAAAAAAGACTAATTACTCGTTCAAAACAAGTAAATATTGGTGCTGCACCATTTCAATGAATGTTCTGATTTTTATGTTATCAAAGAACGAATTTAGATTAAGAAACGTGTTCTTGAATGAGCAAAACTTTAAAAGTTCCTAAAATCACCACTTGGAATCAATTAACATGATAAAGAAACATCACACGCAATTGAAAACAAGAGTATCACCACCTTGCTTGGAACCAAAAACAAGGATTAAGAAGACAAAATAAAGAAAAATACTCTATTGCAAATTAGGGAAAACATAAAAAACGTGAATTGTATTTTACAAGGCATGAATACACCTTATATAGGCCTAAGGTCTCTTCTTTGTTGACTACAATTTTTATTATACTAAGAAAATAAAATAGCTAAAGATAACAACAACAACCCAGTAAAATTTCATAAGTTGTGTCTGGGGAGGGTAATATATATGCAGGCCTAACCCCTACCTGGTGGAGTAGAGAGGTTTTTTCCGATAGACCCTCGGCTCAAGAAGATAAAAAAAAATCCATATTCTACAAGGAAAAGAAACTAGAATCCTAATAAAAGAAAAATCCTTATTCTAAAAGAATATAATAAAGAAAGTCTATAACTATTAAGAAAAAGAAATAAGAAATTCTTTTTTGTAAGAAACAATAAATTCTATTTTAAGAAGGAAATAATCTTGGCTTCTTGAAACCAATCTTGAGCTTCTTGGATTTCCTGGACTTCTTGAAAAAAAATCAATATGTTTGGACTTGAACTCTAAAACATGATCTTGACCAAAGTTAATAAAATTTAACATAGATTCATCATTTCATCTGGATATGTAGTAAAAGCTATTAACAGATTATATGCATGTGGATGAATATTTATGCCTTTACTGAGATTGGTTAGTTAAAATTTCTATTAGTCCAAATGTGTTACATAAATCAAGTTTTGATTGTGACACAATTAACATGAGAGAAAAAAATAGAGAAAATAACGATGAAGACCGTTAGAATGGAAAGCCGGTGGAATTGGAGGGTTTGAGATAAGTATCGATTGTAGTGATTTCCTTTTTTCAGCTTTTTTTTTTTATTGTTAACATTGTGAATATTACCATTGACATTACACATATAAAGCACTTTACATCATAATCACCTCCTCAAAGGTACTGTGAATGTTCAGTCTCAGCTCAAGTCTATACATCAGTGATATTCCTCAAGAATTCTCTATATCCCCTTCTTGCAGTTGCACACTAAGCCATCACAGCGCCTTAGCACGAGCATTCTTTTTCCAAGTGCATTCCACAAATAGATGCTGGTTGGTTTGAGTTGTTTGTTCTTTGCATAAACAACAATCCATGTTGTCTACTTGAATCTGCAACTTCACCAACCTCTGCATTGTAAACAGTCGCCTTTGAGCTCCAAGCCTCAGAAAAAAGCTGTGCTTTGGTTGTGCTACACTGCTCCGTATCAAATCTGCCATATGCAGTCTTTACATTCCCCCTAGTAATGCAATACAACTCCAAGTTATCGAATAGCCACCACCCCTTCTCAGCCCATACATGTCCTCCTTCAAAGAGTTAATTATCTTCCAATACCAACCGCAGTCAGCTGGTATCTTATGATTCCAAATGTTAGTATTAGTCTTCTTATACAATCCATGCACCCACTTCACCCATAGAGCAACTACCATAATAATTTTCTCAGAGAAGCCACATTCCATAGTTTACTACTTTTAACATTTAGCCCACCAAATTTTTTAGGAAAAACATATTCTTTCTCATACCACTAGGGCCAGTATTTTTTCAGTCTTCAGTACTCCCTCATAGGTAGTCCTTACATATATTATCCACCTCTTTTACCACTACCTGAGGTAGAATGAATACAGAACTCCAGAAGTTATAGATGGAGAACAAAACAGAATTAACCACCTGCAATCTGCCTGCATATTACAATTGCTTAGAATATCCAGTTTTTATCCTGCTAGTTATTCTGTCTACTAGCTTACTGCAATTTTTATCATAGTAAGGAAATAAAACTGACTACAATTTTTATTATACTAAGGAAATAAAATAGCTAAAGATAACAACAACAACAACAACCCAGTAAAATTTCATAAGTGGTGTCTGGGGAGGGTAGTATATATGTAGGCCTTACCCCTACCTGACGGAGTAAAGATGTTGTTTCGGATAGACCCTCAGCTCAAGAGACAAAAAAAATCCATATTCTACAAGGAAAGGAAACTAGAATCCTAATAAAAGAAAAATCCTTATTCTAAAGGAATATAATAAAGAAAGTCTATACCTATCAAGAAAAAGAAACAAGTTATTCTTTCTTGTAAGAAACAATAATTTTTATTTTAAGAAGAAAGAATCTTGGCTTCTTGAAATCAATCTTGAGCTTCTTGGACTTCCTGCGCTTCTTGAAAAAAGTTGATATGTTTGCATTTGAACTCTAAAACATGATTTTGACCAAAATTAATAAAATTTAACATAGATTCTTCCTTTCATCTAGATATGTAGTAAAAGCTATTGACATATTATATGCATGTGGATGAAATATTTATGCCTTTATTGAGAACGGTCTTTTGAAGTTTCTATTAGTCAAAATGCGTTATATAAATCTAGTTTGGATTATGACACAATTAACATGAGAGAATTTTTTTTTTTTTGTGAAAATAGCGATGAAGACCGTTAGAATGGGAAGCCGGTGGAATTGGAGGGTTTGAGGTAAGTATTGATTGTAGTGATTTTCCTTTTTTCAGCTTTTTTTTTTTGGTAACATTGTGAATATTGCCATTGATCAACTAAATGATTACACCTATAGAGCACTTTATATTATAATCACCCCCTCAAAGGTACCATGAATGTTCAATCTCAGCTCAAGTCTACACATCAGTGATATTCCTCAAGAATTCTCTACATCTACTTGCCTTTTTAGACTTATAGATATCATTTAATCTAACTAATGTTTCCTTCTTTATCTATTCTACAGGATTTGCAATATTTACATTGACTCCTTGAAATATCTTCCAATTCCTTGCCTCCCACGTATGATAGAATAGAGCTCCCATTGTAGCTGCAACCACTTCTTTCTTTAACTGTTTCTATTTTTTCTTTTTAATCTTGTTCATTGTTCTCGCTATATCCCTTTCTTGCAGTTGTACACCAAGCCATCGCAACACCTCAACACGAGCATTTTTATCCAGTTGCATTCCACAAATAGATGTTGGTTGGTTTCAGTTATTTGTTCTTTGCATAAACAACAATCCATGTTGTCTACTTGAATCTGCAACTTCACCAACCTCTCCCTTGTAAACAGTCGCCTTTGAGCTCCAATCCATAGAAAAACCTGTGATTTGGTTGTGCTACATTGCTCCATATCAAATTTGCGATATGCAGTCTTTGCATTCCCCCTAGTAATGCAATGTAGTTCCTAGTTATTGAATAGCCACCACCCCTTCTCAGGCCCATACATGTCCTCCTTCAAAGAGTTAATTTTTCTCTAATACCAACTACAGTCAGTTGGTATCTTATGATTCCATCTGTTAGTATCAATCTTCATATACAATCAATGCACCCACTTCACCCATTGAGCTTCTTTATTATTAAGCAACTGCCATAATAATTTCCCCACAAAGGCCACATTCCATAGTTTACTTCTTTTAACATTTAGCCTACTAAATTTTTCAGGAAAACATATTCTTTCCCATGCCATTAGGTCCAGTTTTTTCCTGTCTTCAGTACTCCCCCATAGGTAGTCCCTATATATACTGTCCACCTCTTTTACCACTAACTGAGGTATAATGAATACAGAACTCTAGAAGTTAGAGATGGAGAACAACACAGAATTAACCACATGCAATCTGCCTGTATATGACAATTGCTTAGAATATTCAGTTTTTATCCTGCTAGTTATTCTGTCTACTAGCTGACTGCAATCCAATTTGTTACATTTCTTAGATGAAAGGGGAAGCCCAAGATATCGAATTGGGAAAGATCCTTGAGTGAATCATGTTTTTCTAACTGCTACCCCTTAGTTAAGTCATCCACCCTAGCAATGAAGATATTAGATTTATCCTGATTGGCAATTAGTCATATGCCTCACCAAAATGATTTAAAGCTTCTACCACCCTAGTAGCTGATCCAGGTTACCTTTGCAGAAGATCATAAGATCACCTGCAAAGATCAAGTGAGTTAGCTTTAACTGTTTGCACATGGGGTGAAACTAAAAATATGGAAGTTCACTCATAGTTGACAGAACTCTAGACAGGTTTTCCATTACTAACATAAATAGTAGAAGAGACATAAGATCTCCCTGCCTTAGTCCCCTTCTCCCATCAAAATAACCATTTCCTTCACCATTTACTTTGATAGAGAATTTAGTAGTTATTACACATACCATAATCCAGTGAATAAATCTCTGTGGGAAACCAAATCCAACCAGAACATCTTCAAGAAAACCCCAGTCCACCATATCATAAGCCTTCCGTAGATCAATTTTTATAAGGCACCTTGCAGATGTCTTCCTACGATAATGTCTCAAAAGATCATGGCATATAAATACATTATGAATCATAGATCTTCCTTGAACGAATGCAGCTTGATTGCCAGCTACAATGTGGCTTATGGCATGCTTCAATCTGTTGCATATCATCTTAGATATACATTTGTACAAGACATTACAACAGGAAATAGGTCTGTACTGGCTAGTATACTTTGGAATATCCACCTTAGGGATCAGTGCAATGTTGGTTGTATTCAATTATTTCAGGAGCTTACCATTATCAAAGAACTCCAGAACTACTTTTGTGATGTCTGCTCCTACAATACCCCATGCTGATATGTAGAACCCACTCCCACAGCCATCAGGTCCAAGACTCTTATTTTTGTCAATTTTGAACATTTCTTCCTTGACTTCTCCCCTAGATAAGGTCTGATCAAGCTAACCTATTGTTCTAAGGATAAAACCGGCCCTCTTTTCACAAAGCTGCTGATAGCTCTTAACTCTTGCATTAATAGTATGTCCCAATAAGTTCTCATAATACTCAACAAACACCTGAGCTATGTCATCTGGATCACTCTGCCATTTCCCTTGTTTTTCCCTTATCTGTGTTGTAGCTAATTTCATTCTCCTATGTTTAATCACGGCATAAAAATACATTGTATTATCATCTCCCAATCTTATCCAATTAGCTTTACTTTTCTGTTGTAAGTATATTTCTGCCATATATGAAATCCTTCTAAACTGTTGATACACCTCTCTTTCCTTCTTCTGCATGCCCTTATCTAGTGGATTTGCTTGCATCTTCTCCTGAACTCTCCTTAATTCCTCCCTGCTATCATCTACTTCATTTACCAAGTCCTTGAAGTACTTAGAGTTTAATTGCTTCAGTCCTTTCTTTAGCAACCTCAATCTCTTAACAACTCTCAATATTTTGCACCATTCAATCTGCACCTCCCACCCAGCCTTGATAGTGGCATCAAACAAAGGATGTTGATCCCATACATTGCAGTATTGAAATGATTTCTTTTTTCTTGTCTTAATACCTTCTAAAGTTAACTGCATGGGGCAATGATCACTTATTCCTTCAGGTAAGAACTTGGCTTGATAGGTTGGCATTATGCCAAGCCATTTATCATTGATGAAAGCCCAATCTATCTTGGAAAATATTTTCTGTTCAGAGTGTTTGTCATTCCATGTGTACCTATTGCGCTGGTGAGGAAGTTCAATCAAACCACAATAGTCCACACAATTCCTGAATTCCATTATTTCTGCCAAAGTGACTAGATTTCCTCTTATTCTATCCTCCTCTGTTAATACTGCATTAAAGTCACCTAATATCAGCCAATGTTTAGAACAATGTCCATGTTGTTGCATGATGATATCCCACAACTCTCTTCTTTATTCTCTTGTATTGAAAGTATACACCACTGTGAGCAAAAATTAATGTCAGTTATAGCGGAATGTAAATCACTTCACATGTCACACTCTGTGCATTTATACTTATAGGGACTACATCATAGTAATCCTACCTCCATGTCAATCAGATTCTACCATTATAGTATGCTTCAAGATTGGTAATATAGTGCCAACCTCCAAACAAGCTACCAACAATTTGTTCAATCTTATCCTTTTTTATTTTAGTTTCTAACAGACCAACTATATGATAAGTGGGGATTTTGACTATTTATTAACGCCTTTTTACTTTTGTTTTAGTTCAAAAGTATTTAATTATATTTCTAAAAACTGATGAAACATGCTTAATTGCAGGAGTATTGAAAAGTGAGCCATAATGATGAAATCCAACTCAAAAAGGAGTGATCTGAACGCAAGTACAAAAATCAGGCACAAAGGCCCAAGTGCGAACCGCGCGAACTGCAGAATTCAATCTGCGGCCGCAGAATATAAAGGGAAATAGATCAGAGCCTCAGTATAAAGTGCGGACCGCACAATTATTGTGCGACCGCAAAAGCTATGTTAGAGCTCAAGTTCAGAGAAGTCTCATTTCGAGCCAAAAGGAAATGCAAACCGCACAATTATTATGCGGCCGCACTCAGATTTGTGCGGTCCCCAGAAGGACCCTACGCGGCCGCACTCAAATTTGTGCAGACCACAGAATAAGAGACATGCAGCCGCAATCCAGAATTGTGCCGCCACAGATTCCAAATCCCGTCAAGACTCAAGCAAAGTGTGGACCGCACATGGAATTGTGCGCCGTAGAACCTCTGAAAGGGAATTTTTGTTCGAAATTTTCATCTTTGTATAAATAGATTAGTTTCACGAATTTAGGTCTAGTTTTGAATATCTAAACTCATGTAGCCGTTTTTCTTTACTGCTTTAGGCAACATTAGCTTACTTTAGTGATTTAACGTTGAATTTTTATTTTTTATTCTTTCAATATGAATTTAATTATCTTTTCTTCTTTTGTTTCATTTACTCTAAGCATGAGTAGCTAAATTTCTAGCTAGGGTTGTGACCCAACTCTAGAAACCTAATAGGTATTTAATTTAAAGCTTGTTTATAGTTGGTGTTGATTATTTAGCCTTGTTCTTGTTTTTTATTGTAGAATTAATGGTTGCCAACATTAGTTCATGCCTATTTGACTTGGTCTCTACTTGAGAAAGAGAGACTTAGTCTAGGAAAACTTGGCTAACAAGAATTTGGAACGAAATCAAGAGATTGATAGTCCTAATTAAAGGGTTGAACCTAGAGATAGTAAAACCCGACTTGAGCATTTTATCAACTGTTTATTCAATACCTAGTTGGACTTGAGAAAGCCAAATCACTCTTTTACCGAGAGGTATGTAATTGAGTGTTGATAGCTATAATACACCCCGACCAACAAAACAAGATCTAAAGTTTACAACCTGTTAGGCAAATACCTAGGTGAAGGTCATAACCATGGGACTTTTATAATATTTGAAAACAACAACGAAAATATAATTTCTTAGTTTCAATTACTTATTTGAAATCTTAGTTTAACTTAGCTATAGAATCAACCAAATTTGTGGAAGTGCAATTTAGGATAGTTCAAGCTCATATACCGTAATATATACTCCTAAATCCCAATCTCATAGCTCCATGTGGAATTTGATCCCGACTCTGTTGGGTATTACTATTGCATCGACCGTTTCATATCCTCGAATAAAGATGTGACTTGGACGAGATCACTATACCAGCCTTAACTTCATTGCAGAGGATTTTAACATCCTTATGCTTATTTGGGGCATTCAAGCCCCTAACATTCCAACATAGCAGATTAATCATTCCCAATATGGGATATGATTCCACCTCCCTTTTTCTCTCCAGTGGCACTTTTAGTAGCAGGTTCTACTGGACTGACAGTTCCAGGCTTATCCAATATTTGATAAGAGTAGGATTTTTCAATTTGTAGGTTCTGTTTAGGTAGGCCTCTTCCAGTTCTTAAAGGATTGATCCATTCTAAACTAGTTGATGCTTGTTTCTGAGACATTTATGTCTGTTCCTTACCCTTTTTTCATCTCCCCTGCTTCATTATCCTATTTCTTCTTTTGCACTATCTCTATTGTAAATGCTACCTTATCATGTTGAGTAGCTGGCTTATTCTTTTTTCTACATACCTCCTTTGCGTGCCCATAAGCATGGCAATAGATATACAATGCTGGTTTCCAATCATAACTCACTCTTTGTTCTATGAGCTGACCTTTCTCATTTCTAAATAGTATTGTGTCTGGTAGTTGAGCATCGAACTCCACCTCTACTAGTATCCTTGCAAACTGTAGGTCTACCTTTCTTTTAGTGTTTTGATCCACCATTAAAGGTCTCCCCACCAAACGTCCTATCTTACTCAATCCATTAGGGCTCCAGTACTTAAAGTCGAGACTTGGAAATTTCACCCCAAATTGGCACATTGAGCAATTTCTACCTAGTGAATTCCAAATATGGACTCCATGCTTTGACAATAAAAGGCTTATTATCAAAGTGACAGATCCATACGTTCAACACCTCTTGCTTTGCAATAGTAGAATCAAATCTGACAAGTATAACCCCATTTTTAAGCATAGAGATTTTATTAATACCATGCTTAGCCCATAGCTTCTTAATATAACCCTGAATCACTGTAAAAAGAGGATGTACACCTAGTACATAGCAAACTATTGCATTCTGCCAATACTCAATTTCACTAGAAATATCTTCTAGTTCAATTGTACTTACACGAGACTCACCATACAACTTAGGTTGAATATATTCCAGCTTGAATCCAACATTGGAAAGCTTAGTAATGCCGAATTCATCCCAAATTGAATTCCTCTTTCCTGTTTGCCCTGGTTTTTCCTTCGCTTTATCTGCCTACGATTTCATTCCATTACCAGGAGACTTGCTCTGTCCTTCATTCCTTGGTTTGAGGATAGATTCATTCCACACATTCATCGCTTGCTTCTGTTTTAATTCCTCTCCTTTTGCATTGTTCTCTACTATTACATTGGTTACTGTTACATTGGAATTGTTAGCATAATTTGATTTCCCCATCATCGATCCATTAGTAGCACTCGTTCCTGCTGGAAATTTAGCTTGTGTTGTTGTCGACATTGCCATTAACGCTTTTTGAGATGGAACATGAGCTCTTCTCCCCATGGCTGGTGCACGTTAGAATAACCTACGCCGAGAGAGAATCATGTCGTCGCCAGTTTGCATTTTTTTAGCTTTTTATTTAATTATAGTAATAATCTTGATTGTGGTATTAATGGATAACGTCCTCCTTCTCAATTTAGACGAGATAGTTTGACTCGGCACGAAGTTTAAGAAAAAAAGAATTTTGAAATTTATGGTCTTAAAAGCTTTAAGGGGTAAAAGATTAGTGAGGCCATGATATTTGTGTAGTTATAAAAACTTCTCATTAAGGGTAAAATGAGTAAAATAAAGAGTTTAAAGTTAAATTTGTTATTCTTTTTGGAATAGACTAATAAGGAATGTGTGTCATCTAAATTGAAACAGAGGGAGTAATTTTTTTATTGACACCGTCTATGATATCTAATTTGGTGATAGTCTATACTCAATATAATTAACTCATATTAATTTTGATTTATGTAAATTAGATCTCAAGATTCTTTAACTAAAATCTGTTGTTTAATTAAAGGGAAAATTTCACATTAGAACAATTCAGTTCCATACTTTTTAATTTTATAGCCCATATTTTAATTTATAACCAATTAGCCCAAAAATAATAGGCTAAGATTCAACATCCAACTCAAATAGGTTCTCAAAATTACTATTTAATTTTTAAAAAAGATTCCTCAAGCTTTTAAATTAATTTTTGAATCAGTAACTGTGACTCAAATATTAATTCAACAAACCAAATTCATTTGGATGGTAAAAATTAGATTTTTAACAAGCTTAAATATGTGGGTTTAAATTCCGAATTTGATTTTGTGAGAAATTTTGAGTGAGTGTTATTCAGACTTATTAGAAAAAGTATAAGGAGGTTGTATATAAAATTTGAAGTCATTTAATGGAGATTTGGACTGGTTTTGAACGAGAATTGCAACTGAAAATCGTGGAAGAAGTGTATTAAAGTGTATAAGGTGTATTTCTACACTCATATACACTATTATACAAGATTATACATAATTATACAAAAAACTGACTTCGTCTTCTTTCTTGCGTCTTTTCTGAAATTTAACGCAAATCTTGCTCAAATCTACTCCAAATCACTTCAAGTTTAAATTTTGAACTTCTTTTAATATTTTCAATCAATTGGAACAACACCCAATCCAAACAACTAACAAATTCAAAAAAACCCATTTTCAAAAGTAAAGCTTTGAATGGTCCTCAATGGTGGACTTCTACTCTTTAATTTTCTTACATTGCAAGCAGGTGACACAAGAGGAGAAGCAATAAATACACGGCCCTTGAAGCATATGTAGAAGATGTGAGAAGAAGAGAGAGTGAAAGCAATGGTTGTGAGAACAAAAAATTAACTTCATAGCTTTTAGAAGCAATGGTTGTAAGAACACAGATTTTGAATTTGCAAGTGCTTTCAAATATGTACAATGTGGGCTAGGTGGGGTAAAACTTAAAAACATGGGCCATTTTTTGTTTTCTTGTAATTATTTCTTAATTAAAGCATCATATTCTGGACGTCTGCATGCTTACGTAACTACCACTTTCTCAATCATACCTATTAAAAAGACTACCATATATGATATACACCACTTCAATCATAACAAAACAAAAAAAGACATTAAATATATATCAAAAGGAGAAGAAGAAGAAAATTTCCATGGCTCATTCATCCCCACAAATTAACACAACAACACTAGCCATTAATCAGATGAATACTAATAAACCCCGGCATGGGAACCGTACAAACAAAGTCCTAGATGGTGTATCAAACCTTTTACCAACAGGAACCGTCCTTGCTTTCCAAACTCTAATGTCATCTTTTACCGACGGTGGCTCCTGTTAACACTGACATGGGCTGTTCAACTAAAGGAAAGGAAGTGGCCCAACAACAATGAGACACTACCTGAAGTACCCGGCCCACTTCTATTTTTTATTTCTTCATTCATTTATTTCTTTTATTTTAACACATTTTAGTGGTGTAAATATAAATACACAGTCATTATGTACATTATATAATAATGTACATAACCGACTCATGTTCTCTCTTCTCTCTCACCCTAGCTAGGGTTTTCTCAATTTCTTTTCCGCCATAACTGCTGATTCTTCAATCTAACATGGTTTATGAGCGGGAATTATAATTCCTCGCTTCATTAGCTTCAATCCGATGTTACCCTTGCCTAAAGTCTTGCAGGATTTCATGTGTGTTTCTGGATGATCGAAGATTACTGCCAAATCGATGATTTTGCCATCAAAACTTGGGGATTTCTTCATTTTCGCTTTCAAACGACTGGTATCTAGTAGAAGTTTTATCTTTTCGAGGCCTACTTCAGTGATTTCTTCAAATTCAATTCCTAGATTTTCATGTTCAGAGAAGACTCTTCTTCTTCGAGTTTGTGAAGAAGGCTGGTAATATCTTTCTTATTCAACTTCAAATTTGTACAAATCCGATACTGTTGCAGCATATCCCTATAGAAATTGTGTTGGTTCAATTGTTAGCAATTTGTCTCATCTTGCTGAAGTCGATTTTTTTTACTGCATGGGTAGTATTATGGAAAACGTAGGTTCACCTAGTAGTACAACCTCTGAAGGTTTTACTCCCTTTATAATTGATCCATCTCATCCTTTATATGTACATCCGTCTGATAGTCCTGGTAGTCAACTAGTGTCTGCACCTTTTAATGGTTGTGGTTTTGTTCTATGGAGAAGCAGTATGCTTACCTCCTTATCTGCAAAGAACAAATTAGGTCTTCTAGATGGTAGGGTCCCTCAACCAACACCTGATTCTCCCTATTATCCATATTGGGAAAGGTGCAATGATATGGTGAAAGCATGGATAAATAATTTTGTATCTAGAGAAATTGCCACCAGTGTCATGTGTCTTAAAACTGCAAGAGAAATCTGGAAAGACATTAATGAGAGGTTTGGTCAGTCAAATGGATCAAAGTACCTTCAAATACAAAGGGAAATTAGTACCACAAGCCAAGGTTCAGCAGACATTGCTACTTACTTCACTAAGCTTAGGAGCCTATGAGATGAACTGAACTCCTCTTATGTTGGTCCAGTGTGTTCTTGTGGGGTACTTCCAAAATTCATGGAAGATCAACAGTTATTCTAATTCCTAAATAGTTTGAATGAGTCTTATTCCACTGTTAAGAGTGCTATCATGGTAATGAATCCTCTACCTCCCATAAGCAAGGCTTACTCACTCCTCCAACAGGATGAGAGTCAAAAGGAATCCCTTTCCAATGTTTCTAACTTTTCTGGGGACTCTGCTTCCTTCTCTGTAACTCCTGCTCAGTATAACAACAATAAAAACTTTACCCAGAGAGTCAATTTTGAACCCAAGAAGAATATGTCCACAGTATATGCAAATACTGCAAGAAATCTGGACACACAGTGGAAAAATGCTACATGCTGCATGGTTTTCCCCTGACTTCAAGTTTACTAAGGGTAAGAAGTCTGCTTCTTGTGTCCAAGGAGAAGTTCTCTATTCTCAACCACCTTCTGGGTCCAATCAGACTCCTGGTAACTCTACTTCAGCTCATGGTTTCACTAAGGAGCAGTATCAGCATCTCCTCACTTTATTCCAGCAAGTTCAGATCTCCCCTGCTGCTACATCATCTATCCAATCAGATGAGGATTCAGCTTTTGGTCACTTTGCAGGTTTATTTACTGCCTATGCTGTAGAATCTGTAGATTCTCATGTGTGTGCTTCTTCACAATTAAATCCAAACCCTTGGATCTTGGATTCAGGGGCCACTAATCACATGACTCCACACAAATTTCTGCTTCACAATGTTGTCCCTTTATCTAAACCATTCCATGTCACCTTACCTAATAGATACAAGGTTAAAGTTATATCAACTGGCTCTTTGCATCTAAGACATGATAATTTACTTAATGTCCTCCTAGTTCCATCTTTTCATTTCAATTTAATTTCTATTCATCAACTCTTTACTCAGCTTGATTGTATAGCAGTATTTACCAAATTCCATTGTTCTCTACAGGGCCCTTCTCTGAAGAGGCCACTGGTAATTGGTAAGGCTGCTGGCAGGCTCTACTATCTTCATCCTGATGGAAATTTATTTCCCACCACAAGTTCTTCTGTATCTTCTGTTGTTACTACTACTTGCAGTGAGTCTGTTTTTAATGTAGGTTCAATTCCATGTAATAAGTCTATTTCTGCACCTTTACATCTTGATGTTTCACCTAGTTATAATCAGACTTTACTTGTCAATAAGATGGATTTACTTTGGCATCAAAGATTGGGTCACATGCCTTTTCGTAAGATGCAGTCTATTTCTTTTCTATCTAATAAAGTCTCTGCCAAACAACCTTTTATATGTTCAATTTGTCCAATGGCTAGACAACAAAGACTCCCTTTCTATGACAGTACCATTCATTCTACCAAACCTTTCCAACTTGTTCACATTGACATATGGGGACCATATAATACTAAAACTTACAATGGTTTTAGGTATTTTCTCACCTTAGTTGATGATTTTACTAGAGTCACTTGGACTCATCTTCTTTCTTCCAAGAGTAATGCTTTGTCAATCCTTAAGTCTTTCACTTCTATGGTGAAGGTTCACTTCAACTCTTCAATACACACTTTTAGATCAGATAATGCTTTTGAACTTGGGAGCAGTTCTGAAGCCATTAGTTTCTTTGCTTCTCAGGGCATTCTACATCAAACTTCCATTCCCTATACTCCACAACAAAATGGTGTTGTGGAGAGGAAACATAAACATCTTTTAGAAGTCTCAAGAGCCCTACTCTTTCAATCCAAACTACCACTGAAATTTTGGGGGGAATGTGTTCTCACTGCCACATACTTTATCAACAGGATGCCTTCACCACTTCTTCTTAAGCTTTCCCCTTTTAAAAAGTTTCATGGATATCCACCTTCCTATGACCATTTGAGATCTTTTGGGTGTCTCTGCTTTGCTACCTCTCCTAAGGTAGGCAGAGATAAACTTCAGTCTAGAGCCATTTCCTGCATATTCCTAGGCTATCCTTGTGGTAAGAAGGGTTACAAATTGCTCAATTTGTCTAACTCTTCTATTTTTCACTCTAGGGATGTGGTCTTCCATTCACAATTTTCCCTATTCTTCTTCTTCTCCTCCTCCTTCTTCTCACTTTAATGTGTTACCTCCCACTTTTGTGGATGACCCAGCTCCTCCTTCTGTAGTTACTCCCTCTACTAAACTTCCTGCTCCTCCTCCAGTTCTTCTCCTTCCACCACCATTATTCCTGATCCTCTCCCCAGTTCTTCTCCTTCCACCACCATTATCCCTGATCCTCCTCCCTTAAGGAAGTCCACCAAAATTGTCATACAACCTTCTTATCTTAAGGATTATGTTTGCTTCTCTGTCCTTTCCAACCCTGTTCCTCCACAATCTAAAATTTCTTCCAGTGAAGCTCACATGCTTGAACCTCAGTTCTACCAGCAGGTTGCAGGTAATCCTGCTTGGCAAGAGGCCATGCTAAAGGAATTCCATGATCTTGAGGCTAATCAGACTTGGTACATTGCCCCTCTTCCCCAACATAAAAAGGCTATTACCTGCAAATGGGTTTACAAGATCAAATAGAGGGCAGATGGGTCTATTAAAAAGTACAAGGCTAGGTTGGTTATTAGAAGTGATACACAGAGGGAGGGTATAGATTTTACTGAAACTTTCTCCCTTGTTATCAAGCTCACTACCATCAAATGTCTTCTGACTCTTGCTATCAAGAAAGGTGGGACTGTGTACCAGCTGGATGTTAATAATGCTTTCCTCCATGGTGATCTCCATAAAGAAGTATATATGAAAATTCCTCCTGGCCTTGATGTCTTCTCTGACTCTTCTTCAGCTCCTCTAGTATGCAAACTCAAGAAATCTCTATATGGCCTTAGGCAAACTTCCAGACAATGGTTTTCAAAATTGTCTGAAGCTTTGCTCTCAAGGGGCTACATCTCTAGTCTCAATGACTACTCTCTCTTCACCAAATCCTCTTCTGGTTCTCTAGTGGTTCTGGCTGTCTATGTTGATGATATACTATTGGCTGGTGATGATCTTGCTGAAATGCAATCTCTGAAGTCTTTTTTGGATGATTAATTCAAGATTAAGGACTTGGGTTCAGTCCACTATTTCTTAGGCTTGGAGATTTCTCAGACTCCTCAGGGTTATGTCATGAGTCAACACAAATATGCTTCTGACCTTCTAGCTGTGTTCAAGTGCAATCATTTTTCTGCTGTTGTGACTCCTTTAGACCCTTCTGTCAAGCTGACTATGGACATGGGTGATCCCCTGCCTGATCCTAGTTTGTATAGAAGGCTAATTGGCAAACTTAACTTCCTGCAGCACACTAGGCCAGACATTTCTTTTTCTGTACAACATTTAAGCCAATTTCTTCAGAAGCCTCATGTTCCTCACATGATGGCTGGTTTACATGTTCTTAGATATCTGTTGGTTGCTCCTTCTCAGGGTGTGCTCCTCTCCAATTCTCCTGATTTATCTCTTATTGCTTACTCTGACTCTGATTGGGCATCTTGTGCTATCTCTCGCAAATTAGTGACTGGTTTTTATGTGACTCTTGGTGGGAGCCCTATCTTTTGGAAAAGCAAGAAATAGCCCACCATTTCCTTGTCCTCTACTGAAGCTGAATACAGGGCTTTAAGGAAGGTTACTGCTGAAGTTTCTTGGCTAGTCAGACTACTTGGGGATCTTGGTCTTCATGTTGATTCTCCTGTCCCAGTTCATTGCGATAGTCAGGCTGCCCTTCACATTGCCAAAAATCCAGTTTTTCATGAGTGTACGAAGTATATTGAGATTGATTGCCATTATGTTCGTGAGTGTTTGAATTCTGGGCTTATCTCTTTACATTTTGTCTCTAGTAATAACCAGTTGGCTGATATTATGACCAAGTCTCTATCTGGGCAACTTCATCACAGCATTCTTGGCAAGCTTGGTGTGTTTCCACCCTCCAGCTTGAGGGGGGGTGTTAACACTGATATGGGCTGTTCAACTAAAGGAAAGGAAATGGCCCAACAACAATGAGACACTGCCTGAAGTACCCGGCCCACTTGGCCCTCATCGTCCTCTGCGCCGCCGCCTGTTTTTTCTTCTCCTTCACCGACGGTTTCCTCGACGAAAACGGGAAATTGTACTATGGAATCGCCGTATGGAAAGGCCTCCACGTGTTCAACTGTGATGAACCCGCGAGAAAGCTCATGAAAACTTATTTAGAAAACTATCATGTCAAGAAAATATCAAGAAAATGGACTTTGTTCGTGCCTTTGTGTCACTCTTAATGTTCTTGATGTTTGCTCTTAGTGATGCTAACGTGCAAAACTGCTATTGCCCTAAATCTGACCCTAACATGAAAGCTTTGTTCATGAATTTGCCATTGGCTGCTGGAGTTTTTTCCACTTTTTTCTTCAGTGTTTTTCCTACTACACGTAGGGGAATAGGCTATGCAGATTTGCCTAGAGATGGTCCTAGTTTTGATCATGAGATGCATGCTCTTTGTCCTTCAGCTCAGTCAAACACAAATAACAAGTGAAGCATGTTTTCGTTCCTTTTTTTTTTCTTTTCCTGGGTGTAATAAAACATGCCACGGAGATGTCTTACACATCTACCAAGTACGTAATCGTACATTATGTTCTGGTGATATATATACTTCTACAGTTGAAAAAATAACATTCTATTTTTAGTGGAAGTACTGTACTTCAGCGGTTCAGCTACACTATGTTTGGAATTGGATATATATAGACACTAAAATGTCAATTCCAAACTTTTATTTTTTTACTAAAATTTGGCAGTTCAATGCGTAGTGAAAATTGGGCAGACTTGTACGGCATGTAGTATTTGGTAGGGGTAGATTGTTATTAGTTGGCAGTTGGCACACTTTTGTACAAGGATGAGTTTTTCATCATGTAACACAATGGAGACTTTGAAAAAATATCCACATAGCTGTATAGTACGCCCTCTGTTTCATATTATATGAGGTAGTTTGACTCGGCACGGAGTTTAAGAAAAAAGAAGACTTTTGAAACATGTGGGTCTTTAAGGGGTAAAAAGTTTGTGGGGCCGTGACATTTGTGTGGCTATAAAACCTTCTCATTAAGGGTAAATGGGTAAAATAAAAGAGTTTTGAGTTGAATTATTTCCAAATTTAGAAACGTGTCATTTATTTTGGAACAGACTAAAAAGGAAAGTATCTCATTTAATATGAAACAGAGGGAGTACTTGTTTTAGATAAGTAATGTATAAATAGGGGTCCATGCCTAACCTCCACCACACCGTGGTGTGTGGTGGATTAAAAAATGAAGTAAAAAATAAACTTTTTAAGTATTTTTGGTATGACGGAAGTCATTTTTAAGGAAGAAAAAAATCTGCAGAATAAGTAATTTTTTGTAAAAAGAATTAGTGTTTGATTGATGAGTGAAAATTATTTTATGATAAAACACATTTATCAAAAAATGGTTGTAGTACTAGCAAATTGATATGTATTGAACAAATTTTTGAGTGTTAAATATTCATGATAATCTCTCTAAGTATTGGTTGCAGCAGGGATATAAGTTTACAGTTGAGATAGTTGCGAAAGAAAATGAATTCCGTCTATAATTGAGATAAGTGAAAGATGTCAATTTTATTTTTTCATTTGAAAATCATTTTATAGCAACCAGAATCAGAAACTAACTTATTTATCAAAAAAATATTTTTTGGAAAATATTTTCTAATCATACCAAGAATATTTGCCGGGTCTATCTCTATAATATATTGAAGTAATAATAAATGTTTATATCATAGAGAAACCAATGAAATTAATTAAATCCGTATATCAACTTGACACAATGTAAGCTAATAGTTGCGGGTATACAATAAAGTGCTAGAACGATCGAACACAAGGAACCTGCTCTTTGTCTTGACAAAAGAGAATGCGCATCTGAGAGGGGAGTAAATGACACGGAGGAATTTTACGTGAAAAATTTCAAGCTCACGAGATAAAATACCACGACTTACCCTTGTAGAATTTCAACTTTACTATTGTAACCTAGGAATAAACCTCTTAATCCCTCACTAACTTGTAACACTCTATTACAAGCCACTTTGTAATAACTTTATTACAAAGACTTTACAACTCGATTAACTCTAGCCAAGACACAAACACAAGGGTTTATGATTTACAAAGGGTTTCCTACACAATGCTTCTAACTAAGCTAAGCGAATTACAAGTAAAGATCTTCAACAAAGGTACTGTCACACCTCCTTTTTGCGCGCCCGCCCCGAAGGGTTAAAATGCGCGGGTGAAGTTTTTCCAATTTAAGTGACAATATTCGAAATGGGATTATTTATTTA